GCAGCCAAAAATGGAGGGAAATTGTAGCATTGAAATTGTTTATTTGAGTATGACATGTTTAATAACCATTGGAATGTGCTTTTTCCTCTCTAAAACATGACATTAATATAGTCAGAAGTTTTTCTAAAAAGTTTGTTTATTTTTATCTATTCTTATTAGTATCTTCTGCTATAGAAACAAATAAACCTGATATGTACTTTACACCGATGAAGTGGATAATTTAGATGTTTTAGTTACGAAACTATCTATTGAAAATTAAAATAACCTTTGAAAAAATCCTTTAGCACATGCAATCTGTTTTTAGTTTCCTTTAAGTAGCAACTGGCGGAGAGGTTTTCAAAAGGAAAGGCTTAAACAATATTAAACCAGCAGTGAAAAACGCAGGGAAAACGCAGGTAGATACACATACAACTACGGAGCAAAAGTTGAAGTATAGATATTTTTCTATGATAAAACAAGGCTTAGTTTTTAAGTGAGTATAGATAGATACACAGACAACTATGGACTAAAAGTTTAAGTAAACAAACATACATTCATGCATGTAATATTGTTCAGGCTAAAGATAAAGTATTACCTTCATAAATGAGCCTGTTATTTTCTTTCCTGATGCCTGAGTGTGACTGATTGTGAATAGTCAAACTATTTTTGAGTATGACATGTTTAATAACCATTGAAATGTGTTTTTCCTCTTTAAAACATGACATTAATATAGTCAGAAGTTTTTCTAAAAAGTTTGTTTATTTTTATCTATTCTTATTAGTACCTTCTGCTATAGAAACAAATAAACCTGATATGTACCTTACACCAATGAAATGGATAATTTAGATGTTTTAGTTAAGAAACTATCTATTGAAAATTAAAATAACCTTTAAAAAATGATAAAGCAAGGTTTAGTTTTTAAGTGAGTATAGATAGATACACAGACAACTATGGAGTAAAAGTTCAGGAGTCTTTATAAACATAGATTCATGCATGTAATATTGTCCAAAAATGATTTTTATGTGAAGTCATGAGGTATGTGTTGTGCGCATACAGAAATAGAAAATAAAACAGAAAAGTTGAAAACAAGCAAAGAGATGCAATGGTAATACTCATATATCAATGGTAAAGATCAATAAGCATCAACTATTGGAGGGAGGAATGGAAACTCACCGAAGTGTTGATCAAGCCACGTGAAAAAGACGACAGAACTAAGGAAACCCCCATTTCTAGAAGCACCGGAGGAAGAGACGGAAATCATCCGAAACTGAATATTCATTGAATACAAGAATTTATTTTTTATGCTCCAACTTCCTGAACGCATGTTGAAGACTATGGTTGTTTAGCTTCAGAAACGGATTCTAAATTTCTAATCTAAAAAAGAAGCAGGCTAAAGGAGCTGTCTCTTTACTTCTGTGTCAACCGGTAGAGGTAGACGCCGTTAATCAATTAACGAGCAGTAAACGTCTTCATCTGTACAGTTCTCAGCGTATAGCAATAGTAGCGGAATGTACATGTAGAGAAAGCAAAGTTCTAAAAGGATTTAGCACATGTCTAAGCATTTAATAAAAATAGGTGTCCTTTATAAGATAGGTTAAAATATAATATCCTCCGTTCTTTAATTCTTGCAACATTTTGACTTTCGTGTTTGCCAACACACAACTTTGACTGTAATTATATTTAATTATGTATTAGTAAACATTATAAAAAGTTGATATTTTGGAAATTCACATTGATAGGAATTCAATAACATTTTATACGAAATAATTTGATTATGTATATTAGTAGAAAACTGTGGTCAAAGTAAAGTCTGTGAATAGTGCAAAAGTCACAACGTTGCAAGAATTAAAGAACGGAGGAAGTAATACTCATTTCTTTTAAATGGTATAATCATTTCTTTTAAGATAAAATACGCGATTGTACTGTGTGGATGGTATAACTAGTTGTACAGTATATTTTGTCGGAAGAGATAACCCCACAACCTTTTCCAATATGTACGGGACGTGTGACGTGTCAATATGGGATCATTTATACGGAGTAATAAATTAAGTAAACATAATGTGAGTTTTCTAGATATGAATAGTGTGTGTATTTCAACCGTACACACACTATTCAGGTAAATTGGTCATACACTAGCAATTTATCATTTTGGTACAACAATACATGTTTATATTCAGGTAAATACATAATTATCATATTAGAAAAAACACCTTGCTTTTACTATAATTAAGAAAAAACTTCTCTATTCATAAATCACAATGTCTTACAAAAAATTATATCTTACCAGTTACCACTCACCAGTAGCGCATACCATTATGCTAGATCAACGGCTCATGTCAGAATCAGAAGCATAACTCACCATAATTGCAACAAGCATTTTATTTTCCTTGGATATATATGACTGAATCGAACAATGAGTTTCTTAACCGGATAGAAATTTAAATTTCTTATGTACATTCTTTTAGTATTGAGTTGTAATCTATCTATGTTTATGTTTCTCTCGTACCGTTTACGATCTTCTATACTTATTCCTTATCTAAAGTAACTGTTGTAAGAAACATCCTTGTTCTAAATCAGCTTCTTCATTCAATTCAATGACTAGATAAAAGACACGTTTATTGCTAAGGCGTCATTCTTATGAAAAAACAAATATGTGTACCTACAAATCATTATGAATGACGGAAGTACTATTGCAATTTATGGATATAATATTGCCATCATTATTCATCATTATCATTACCCAAGTGTTGCAAAGGCTTCCACCTCTGATGAAGTAAGGGGGTCGGATGTACGCAATCTTAACCCTGTGCTAAAACACAAAGAGACAGTTTCCGGATGACCCATAGTGAAAATCGCGTCGAAAAATACGTGAACTGACTGTTGCTTCATAACAAAGAAGCGCAAACAGTTTAGTGAGTCATTTTGATTTATTCCATCATATTCTCAAGCTAAAAAATGGGGAGTCTTTGGCTCTATTTCAAATGATGGAAAATATGAATATCATACTGTCACTACTAGAAAAATAGCTATTTGCTACGGTCATATAGTATGAAATGAACAACTAATGATATCAAAATATCTTAAAGTGATAGTGATTCGAATAATAAGAGTTCTTTCTTCAATGTACAAATTAATAGAGAGTGGATGGAATAATTCAAAAAACAGTTTTTCAAGTGCATTCCTCATTAAAAACTAACAAGCTAGTACATCTAGCTTCATGGCATCACTCACTCACTCATATAACGATGATTCGATGAAGAGAGAAACAAAATGTTTATTCTACCAAATCAAAAGAGATCGAGTTAGTACGTTATACATATAGATAGTTTACTATTATTATCATATTATTCTATTACGTAGTAGTTTTTATTTCTATAAGATGTAGTTTTCCTAGTAATTTCAGGATTAGTCCTTAGAGCAACTCCAATGATTTATCTAGATAAGTGTGTAGTTTTGTTATTTATCTAGCGCATAGTGTAGACAATCTATGTAACCCATTAAAGATGAAATTTTGATTAATATGGTTGTATGAAAGACCATGTGCATGGCTTGTGCGCTTAGCTTGCCCCAATACCTTGCAATTACTGTTTTCTTCATCACTAGTCATTGCTCCCCTTCTTCACCGATTTGTCTAGTCATTTTCTTCTTTGATTTCTCTCATTTTTCTTCTATTATCATCTTGTTCAGATCATCAAAACATTAAGGATCCAACCACAATTTTACTTTTCATCCTCAAACTAAGTTACGAATAAATTTATGTTTATTATTGGGAAAATTAGACTTTGCACCCCATTTTATTGTAGAAATTAGACTTTGCACCCCATTTTTGAAATCTTTAGTATTTGCACCCCAACCCCGTATGAAAAGACTAAAATGCCCCATCAATTAACAATTTTGTTGGCCTTCAACATAATCCTGATCGAGGGGCATTTTTGACTTTTCATACGAGACTAGGGTGCAAATACTAATGATTTCAAAAACGGGATGCAAAGTCTAATTTGGATAATAAAATGGGGTGCAAACTCAAATTATCCCTTTATTATTCTCTATTAATTATCAACTAAAGTTTAATCTTAAACAAAAATTCATACTTGCATTTGGAAGTCTGCAACTCTTCTTTTAACTATATTTTATATTTTTTCAATTGTTGTGATTCATTAGTACATACTCCATCCGTCCCGTAAAATACAATACACTTGCATATTTGACCTGCACACACAATTTATTTTTAATGTCACGTGACTTGCATATATGACACACGCAATTTATATTTTGTATAACGTGACTTATATAATTGACATAAACAATTACACTTTGAGTTTGTTTGTTTTATAACGTTTTCTAACCAAAACGCTCAAAATAGCAGCGTTTACTTCATTCAAAAATTAGCGTTTGCCCCAACATGCTAATATCCAAGCACAATCTTTGTATAAAGTCATTTATACCAAACATTTAGCTTTTTAATTAATAAATAATGTTACACTTACAAGTTAATCACATTTTCACCGAATTTGCACTATTTGTATTAATCTCTTAACAATAAAAAAAAACGATATTTACACATAAGTATACTATGAATGACACCAAGAATTTATATACCAAAAGTTACACATAACTTACTGATAATCACACATTTACACCATTCCAATCATTCTTGCTTGCTACATAAGTACACACGAATACCATGCACAAAAAAAAGAGCTAGTCTCACTGCTCTCACACTCTCAGGATATAACAACTACTCCGTAGTATTGTTAGAAAAGTTATAAACCATTGGAATTGCTCGTCTAATCTATCTGTTACATTAAGCTTGAGACAACTGACACAGAAACATGAAATGCAAATTAAGTAAACGATTAACTTAATTTGGGAGGTATATCAGTGTTTGATTATCAAGGCATCAAGCATCAGGATTCAGGGTTTTGCGTTTCAGTCGGTTCATCTCAGATAGTTTTAAGTATCCAGATTATAAATGTGTTATGTGTATTCCTTAATAGAACCCTGACTCAACATCACACATACGGACATACCCACATTCCCTAGTGTTTCATTAATTCCAGACTCCAGAGTCCAGAGTCTCTTTTATACAAATGTGCGTGGATCTGTAAACCACAAAACTTTTGCAATAAATGACTGCTTAAAAATTTACAAAGATAATGAATAACATCGTGCTTGCATGCTGACCTCATATGTCATAACATCAAGTATATATTTTATATATATATATATATAAATTTCCCCGATAACTCCGGGGATATAGAAGAATATTGGAACCCTAACTGAATACACGCTATATAGGGGGTTATGTATATTACAGGGGCGAGGTTGGAAAGGGAGCAATGGCTGCTACCAAAACGTGGTAAGACACTTTGAGAATCTTTGAATGTGTGGGTTGAAACTTGAGAGGCTTAAATTCAGAAAGTTTTCTCGAATTATTTAATCCCAAGAATCCTCGTCATCCTCTTCATCACTTCCAGCAAAAGCCTATACAACATTAATTTTCATTAAAAATAAGTAACTTTTTTATACAAAAGAACATACATCATGTGGAGATCAGAATGCAACACAGACCTGGCGAATCGTTTTGGCTCTCTCTAAAATGGCAGCAACTCTCAGATTGGTTTGAGGAAACTGAACAGTGGGCCTTGTTATCACTGTTGGCTTCAGACTGAACGACTGGAATCATTATTTAAAAAAAAGGTTCAGTCATCTCAAAGCACAAGAGAAGTAGATTGAATAGAATTGAATCTTAATCCTACCTTGCTCCTTATCTCTTCTAAAAGAGTATCTCTTTCCCCTGCCTTTTGTAGTGGGGACTTATCTCTATCAACCACTTTCTTCATCTGCATAATGAATCCGATTGTTTGGTTAATGCGCTTCGATGAAGATTTTGATGAAGGTCCACACAAACAAGAGATAATTGGTTTTCCCAAACCATGTTTATTCACAAGATTGACAATGCAGCTAAGCGGGCTATTTCTATATGATTTTGAACCACGTAAACTACCTTACTCTTTGACTTTGCACCCCAATGCTTTATTTTCTCTGAACATGCACACCTCAGAATAGGTCATTTCTACCAGATTTTTCACCCCACTATTTTCCCTAATAATTGATTTCACATCTCATGTTTTCTTTTCTTTGAAAATTCACCCCACAACATGTCAACAAGTTATTTTATTAAACTTTGCCCCTATGAGGTACCTTAATACTCCCTCCGTCCCAGAAAGATTAGCCAAAGTTGACTTTCACGTGGATTAATAAAGTAAAAACTGTGTGGTTGAAATTTGTGCAAGAGAGAGAATTAACTTTAGCCACATAATTCTTACTTTAAATGGAAATGGTAAATCTTTTTGGGACATCCAAAAAAGGAAATTTGGCCAACTTTTTCGGGACGGATGGAGTATTTACTTTTCACCCCATAATTTATTTTCTTTGAGCATGCACTCCAGAACACGTCATTTTTGTTATACTTTGCACCTCATGATTTTCCTTAATATTTGACTTCGCACCCCTACTTTAGCATGCTCTCAGGGAAGCATGTTCAGAGAAAATAAACCTAGGGTGTAAAGTTGAATATTGGGGTGAACTGCAGGGTACAAAGAGCAATATCCCACAAGAAAATAACAGAGGATGTTTACTTTGCTTTTGTCATGTGCAGCTACAGCGTCAATTAGAGGACTTCGGGTTCGAGGAAGCTTCACTTTCTTGCTCTCATTAACCGCTCCATCTTCTACAGCTGGCCATATTATATCCCCTTCTAAATTAGGCTTCCTGTGCAGCGGGTTACGGAAGTTTGCCTCCAGTGCTGAGCGTAATGTAGCGTTCCTGACAGGTTTCTCCTGCAACCTTACTGAACCATTTTCACACTCTGATTCCTTCGAGTTTATCTCAGGTGTTACTTGTTCAGCTTTAGTTGATTCATTCTCCAATATTACAGTTTCATGTCTGTACACATTCTCCTCCAAAATTTCAGATGCTTTGTCAAGCTTCAGTACATCCAAGCCTGTCTCAGTTGATGATTGCAACTCTGGTTGGGCCACCTCTGGATGATCAGGGACTACTTGCATAGATTCTTTGTCTGTGGCAGTACTCTCCTCCAAACTTGTAGAGCCATCATTGTCCGATATTCGAGAAGAACCTACAGAAGCTGAATCCTGTGGACTAACCAATGGTCCCAATCTATGATATGTTTCCAACTCTCCTCCTGAACTTTTCAAGTCTTCTTCAAGCTCCTTCCCATTCAAATGTGCATCTTTTATTACCTCTTCAGCAGGCTGGAGAAATTCTTCGGATGACGTCGCAAAGGAAAGTGTGCAAGACTTATCTACAGGAATATCTTGTGAGAATGAGTTTACAGGCGGCATTCTGGTTGGGAATTTAATTTTGTCTTTGCCATTATCATCAAACTCTTCATTTGACATGGGCAAAGGGAATGAACCGTGACTCACTGCACCATATTGATACACAGAGGGTGGGGCTTCATCTGTTATGGCTGACAATGGTGATTTTTCCAAAGGTTCAATTGCCTGATCAAACTTGGATGGCAAGCTAGAAAAGAAACCTGTTTCGGTTTGCGTCAACTCTCTCTCTCGAGGGGAAGCACGCGGAGACTTTCCCATCCTCCACTGAACTGGAGGTAGAGGAGGCAGTGGAGGCATTTCCTCAAGATTGGTTTGATCAGCCCCAAGTGGCAGTCCAACACCAGGAGATATACAAGTTGAGGGATTTGAATACTGTTCAAAGAGGTTAATATAATGGTTGTCATGTGGGAATATACTTAACTCTGAAGGTTGAGATGGAATGCTTCCGATCATACTTTTGGAAGAAGAGTCAAAGGGCTCTTCAATTTGATTAATTGTTAACAGCACATTTCCTTTTACACTGTCATAGCCTGGCAGATGCAAAGAACCTTCATGGTTGTCCTGTGCTGAAAACCTTGGCAATGGACAATGAATTGGACTTTCTTGCTGCTGAATAGGCCTGGTCTTATTATGATCCAACATGAGTGCATCAGGTTGAAAGTGATGATAGACATCAATCTCATTTGAATTAAGAGAAGATATTGTATGGGCAACTTCATCTAATGCACCTGGGTCCTCTCCACTTGTTGAATCAGGTGATAGTAAAGAGGTCTTCCTAACAGTCGAATTTGGACCAGGGGTAATATTAACTGTTTTTTCAGCATTTTCCAAATTCAGAGCCACATCAAGATGTGCCTGCACACTTTGTGAAATGATAGACTTTCTTGTATCAAGTGCTGGGATGGAACTTGACATTTCTATAAGCTGAGGAGTGGTTGGCATAATCGAGAGGTTTAGTGGACTGATGTTACCATCCACAAGTGTACTGCAAGTATCTTCAGCATTTTTTTCCTCAGACACCAACGTCTCGCCCAGCTTTACACTGGTGGTATGATTAGTCTCAATTTTTGAAGCTGAATCAAGAGGCACTTTTTCTGTTTGTACCATGAGCAAGTTTGGTGAACAAAGGTGACCTTCACCAATTCCTGTGCAATAATCTTTAGCAGTTTCGTCCTTGGATGCAATATGAAAATCATGTGTGACATGTTCCTCTTCTAAAGAAGCCTCCATTATATTTGGTAGATGAACTGAAGCACCATGGGCGATATTCACATCCCCATTTACTTCATTAGTTGAGTAGTTAATGGCATATGAAGAAGGAAAATAACCATCTTTGTTTGAAGTAGAGCGATGAGAGAGATTATCTAAACAGTTTGTATCCTCCTCTGAACTTAGCAACTCCCCAACCAGCATATCCAAATATTTATTTTCAGTGGACCATAGTTCACCTCTCTTTTGAGGGATAAACGGGTTAGATGTACTGTAAAAATTGTTACTTAAGTCTCCATTGTGAACATTAACAGGTAAATGAGCGGGAAAATCATCACCATTGTCGTAAGGAACATCAGACTGATTTGTTGAACAAGCAATGTTATTTTTCTCATTAAGATCTGCAGTATGTATCTCACTTAGCAACCGCTTTTCACCAGATGCGATAGGTGGCAAATCACCAACTGTCTGCCCTGAATTGTCAAAATCTATGGAAGCTGAAGCAGTCCTATGTGGAGTAGCTCCAGTTTCTGCAACACCAATGGAATCATATTGATCTTCATCAAGATGGGATAAAATTTCACTAGTAGTTTGTTTCACCAAGGCATCTTCTCTCATGACATTTCCACCCTTGGCTATTCCTGGATTCACAGAGCAATCTAGAAGACTTGAAGTGCTCAATGGTACCAGGTCAGTGGATGTATTATAAAAAGCATGTTCTGAAAGCTGGGGAGATGCAAATCGCTCACCTTCAGATCGCAAGTCAACCGGAGAATAGCACATGTGAATCTCACGGATATCAGTCATGTTACCAGCATGAGCTTCTGAAGGTGCAATAGTTATATGAGAAGTTCTAGATGAACCAGAAGAAAAGCTAGATTCTTCTACTTTCAAAACACTATTTGCATCATCCGACAAAGTGGACTTGCCCATTGATTGAGAATCAGAAGATCGAGTTCGAATCTGATCATGATGAGTAGTCAGATGCTTTTCACTATCCAAAGCACGTGAATGAGCTCTGGCTCTCAACTCAAAGCCTGTATCCAAATCTGAATCCATGCTAGCAAGGGCATCTACATAATTCTCTATCTCACTGCCAGCATCATCAGAGTGGTAACAATTTGTGCGGTCTCCTCTATCGGTATACATTTCATTTCGAGTGGCCAGTTTACGAAAACTTGACAAGTTGTCACCTAGTTCAAAACTATGGCTAAAGGTAGAAGTAGCTAGAACTCCATCGTCAGTTACCGCCTCATACGGAGCATTGTTTAGTTGTTTTAGTGCATCATTATCTTCACTTAGTGGTGGAGATGGAGATTGTGATGGGGTTATATGCGAGTGTGTGGCCTCTTCATCGCCACTTGCCTTTCTGGTTCCAATATAATCAAGCTTAGTTTGATAGGCACTACTTGATGCCAGCTTCAAGTGTAATGAATCTAAAGAGGCTTCATCAACAACTTTATGCTCTGGAGAAGGAGTACTTGAAAACTTCTCCATGTAGCTTTTCCCAGTTTTTGAGTCAAAAGGAAATCCATTTAGCCTTCTTTTTAATTTCACACGGCGTACAGAGTCATTATTCCCATTTTCAAAATGCTCCTCCTCCATGAATAACTGATGCAGCCTGTGCAACATCACATAATAATGGATATGAAGCAGGTAAACAAAATGCACATAAAATGAAACAGAAGAATCAACAGTTTGATGTCTTGTGGGAAAGAAGATGCCTCACTTCTGCTTGACATGTGGAGTGGGTAATGCCTCAGGGGCTTCGCCATTCCTCCCACGTGGTCCTTTCTTCTGCTACAAGTAAATAACAAAACAACACCTTCACTTTCTGCTGGCTGATCTTAAGTATATATACCTCCCATAAGCAATATTTATAGAAATAGTAGTATATAATAGTTAGTACCTTAGCCTTGCGAGTTCTCTTTTCCCTATGAAAATCTGAATTTGTCATTTCAAAGGATGAAGCTCCCTCCTTAAAGAAAGAAGGATCAGTATAGCGTTTTAGACATGCTCCTGCACCAGCTATATCGAACCTGTTAGAGGTTGAATCTAGGTGTGATTTTCCTTTCCAGAAGGGGTTTTAGCACTTAATCCAATGTATTCAAATATATATATAGTAGAATATACTTGTCTAGAAGAAATAAGCGAGGTGGACCCCTGCACTCTTCATAAGAATCCATCACAAATCTTGGTAAATCACCCTGAGTAACCAAATTTTGCTCCATATGGATATTAGGGTGCCAATCCGTGCCTGCATATAATCTAAGTTACTTAACTCTAATAAAAACAAAGGAAATTTAATAGACAACCCTGAGATTCTCCAAGGCAAACACATTTAAGATATTCAAAACAAATTAATGTTTACACTTTAAGTAATATAAAAATGTACTGAGCAGTAATTAAGAGCATATAAAGCATAAATCCATCTATAATATTTAGTAGTAAATTGGCATAACTTACAGACTAAATGAAAATGTAGATTATTACAGATTGTTTTAATTACTCACCCGATTGAGCATTTATGAGGAGATATCTTAGAGATCTCAGAATCTCTAAATATCCCCAATTATCTTTTCTTTATTAGGGAACCTTAATTAGGAGGATTCCTTCCTTATTTCATTTTTCTTTAGCTATATATATTATGTATTCTTCTCCTTGTATCTTACGGAACATAATAAACAGAATACATTTTACTTTCTCGAGTTATTTCTACATGGTATCAGAGAGTGGTTATTCTCTAAAATGATTAAGTTCGGATCCTATGGGATGACCACCGAGAGAGATGGATCTATCTCAGTCACCTCTGGACATTCAGAGGTTGTCCCAACTGGAGATGGCATCAACCAGAATATCAATGGAAGCACAGTCACCACTCCTAATCAATCAGATTCGATTATTACTTGCCATAAACTCAATGGTAGTAATTATCTACAATGGTCTCAGTCAGTCATGATGTATGTGTGTGGAAAAGACAAGGAGGACTATTTGACAGGTGATGCACCTGCTCCGGGTCAAGGAGATCCAGGTTACAAGAAGTGGAAAAAGGAGAACTATATTGTGATGTCATGGCTTATCAATTCCATGACAACCAGTATAGGGGAATATTTCCTACTATACAAAACAGCTCAAGAGATTTGGGAGGTTGTGAAAGAAACATACTCAACTTCAGATAACACTTCTGAATTATTTGAGGTTGAATCAATGTTACATAACCTTTAGCAGGGAGAATTGAGTGTAACTCAATACTTCAACAACCTTGTGAGACTCTGGCAGCATCTTGATGTGTTTGAGACATACAGCGGGTCATGTTTTAAGGATAAGAAGTTATATCAGGAGATCTGTGAAAGGAAGAGAGTCTTCAAATTCCTGTAAGGTTTGGACAAGAGTCTAGATGAGGTTAGGGGCAGAGTAATGGGAAAGAAACTCACCCTTAGAGAAGCCTTCTCAGAAGTCAGAAGAGAAGAAAGCAGAAGGAAGGTAATGATGGGTCTAAAATCTCAAAGCCAACAACAAAACATTGAAGGATCAGCCTTAATGAAACCAAGAAAAAAAGGGAGGCCATGGTGTGATCACTGTAAGAAACCAGGCCATACCAAGGAAACATGCTGGAATCTGCATGGTAAACCTAAAGATTTCAAATCAAGCAAAGGGAAAGGAGCCTATGTAGCTACTGGAGATAAAGAAGACATGGGCACTTCTAACTCTGCTGCATTTACCAATGAGCAGATTGAGGTTCTTCAACACCTAATAAGTCAGAGCAAAGGGCCTACACCATCAACTAGCCTTACTGCTCAGACAGGTAATGCCTTAACAACCCTAGTTTCACACAGTCAGCCCTATTGGATTGTTGATTCAGGAGCATCAGATCATATGACTGGAGACAGTAAGTTTTTTGCTAAACTGGTCCCTATGAAGAATAAGGTAACTGTGAAGATTGATGATGGAACTACTTCAGCAATAAAAGGGACTGGAAGAGTCAAAATTTCTGACAAGATAGTGCTTAACAATGTGTTATATGTTCCAGATTTAAAGTTTAACCTCTTATCAGTCAGTAAACTGAATAATGATACACATTGCCTAACTAAGTTCTCTTCTCAATTGTGTGAATTTCAGGATTTGGATTCAGGGAGGATGATTGGCAATGCTAAGCAAAGTGGTGGACTCTATCTTCAGGAACATTCACCACATCCACCAAACTCTACCAACAAGACAACTTCCGGTGAGAGTCAATTCAACCATAAGTTCTTAGGGAGTCTTAGTAGGAGTCAGTTTGATACACAAATTCAGTTATGGCATTATCGTCTTGGTCATCCTAATGTCTTGTACTTGGAAAAAATATTTCCTTCATTATTCATAAATAAAAGTTCTGCCTTTGATTGTGAATTTTGTCAACTTGCTAAACATACTAGAAGTCACTATCCCAGTCTACCTTACAAACCATCCAAACCTTTTTCTCTCATCCACAGTGATGTTTGGGGCCCATCTAAGGTAAAAAATCTCACTGGTTCAAGGTGGTTTGTTCTGTTTATTGATGATCATACACGCCTAACCTGGGTCTTCCTCATGAAAGAGAAGTCAGAAATCAATATTATCTTTCAAAGATTTTACTCTATGATCAAAACTCAGTTTCAAACCAAGATTCAAGTTTTTAAAACTGATAATGCCAAAGAATATTTCTCATCCAACTTAGGAGAGTTTCTGACCAAAAGGGGGATTATACACATTAGCTCCTGTGTTGACACCCCACAACAAAATGGTGTGGTAGAAAGGAAGAATAGACATTTGCTGGAAGTTGCTAGAGCCCTTATGTTCACCACTCACACTCCTAAACACTACTGGGGAGAGGTTGTCCTAACTGCAGCTTACTTGATAAATAGAATGCCCTCCAAAATTCACCAATTTAAAACCCCATACCAAATCCTATCTTCTCTACATCCTCACATCCCTCTCACTAATCTTCCACCAAAGGTCTTTGGTTGCAAAGCATTTGTTCACAATCATTCCCCACTTAGGTCAAAACTGGATCCCAAATCCTTACCTTGTATATTCATAGGATATGCTGCCAACCAGAAAGGATATAAATGTTATTCTCCTGCCACCAAAAAGGTCTACATTTCAATGGATGTAACCTTTTTTGAAAATCAACCGTTCTATTCCAAAACTGAATTTCAGGGGGAGAACCACAATGAAATCCGGTCTTTGAATCTTACTTCACCTATTTCATACACTATTCCAGACCTCCAAGAATCTGAAACTAACCACACTGAACCCATACTCTCAGACAGATCTGAATCAAGCCCTCCAGACAACACAGTCTCTCCATCAACCTCACCATTTCAACCAACAACTTCATCACCCCAAAATCCTACACTAAATCAAAATTCTCCATTTTACAAGAATACCTATAAGCGGAAACCTAGAACCAGAGTTCCAGAAGAAGAGCACATCACTCCAATGAACACCACCCAATCATCTGACTCAAATTTGAATCCTGATGACAAAGAGGTTGAGGCTATAGAAGGAGATGAGGAGGAACAAGATTTGCCTATTGCTATCAGAAAGGGAGTAAGGGAGTGTACTAAGCACCCTATCTATAACTTTGTATGTTATAAGAAACTATCAAACTTTTATTTCACATATTGATAGTATTCAGGTTCCTAGCAACATCAAGGAAGCCCTTGAACATCCAGAGTGGAGGAAGGCTGTCCATGATGAATTAGCAGCATTGAAGAAGAATGGAACTTGGGTGCTTACAGATTTGCCAGCAGGGAAGAGAACTGTGGGTTGCAAATGGGTATTTACAGTTAAATATCAAGCTGATGGAAAGATTGAAAGGCTGAAGGCAAGGCTGGTTGTTCAGGGGTTCACCCAAACTTATGGCATTGATTATTCAGAGACATTTGCACCGGTGGCAAAGTTGAACACCATTAGAGTATTGTTATTACTTGCAGTGAACCTAGACTGGCCATTACATCAACTAGATGTTAAGAATGCCTTTCTTAATGGAGACCTAGAAGAGGAAGTATTCATGGATGTACCACCTGGGTTAGAAGACTTGGTGAAATCTGGCCAGGTTTGCAGATTAGATTGAAAAAGTCCTTGTACGGACTAAAGCAGTCTCCTAGAGCATGGTTTGATAGGTTCACAAGATCAGTTATTATTAAACAAGGGTTCATCAGTTCATGCAATGTCAGGCAGACCATACACTATTTATAAAGAGGGCAGATTCTGGAAAAATGGCTGTTCTTATAGTATATGTTGATGACATTATTATGACTGGGGATTATAAGGCTGAATTGGATAGATTGAAGGCTCATCTAGCAAGAGAGTTTGAGATCAAGGAACTAGGCGAGTTGAAGTACTTCCTGGGAATGGAAGTGGCAAGATCTAAGAAAGGCATTTTCATTTCACAAAGGAAATATGTCCTAGACTTGCTAAGTGAAACTGGAATGCTTGGGTGCAAGACTATGGACACTTCTATGGATATATCAAAGAAGTTAGGCACTGAGACTGAAAGTCCACCCGTTGATAAGGGTAGATATCAAAGGCTGGTTGGGAAGCTAATCTACCTATCTCACACACGGCTAGACATTGCTTTCTCAGTAAGTGTGGTCAGTCGATTCATGAATGACCCAACTGAGGAACACCTAACTGCAGTCTATAGAATTCTGAGGTACCTGAAAATGACCCCTGAAAAAGGATTGTTGTTTCAGAAACAAGGGACAAGGAAGATTGAAGTGTTTACTGATGATGACTGGGCTGGGAGCCTTTTAGACAGAAGATCAACTACCGGTTACTGTACTTATGTATGGGGTAACTTAGTCACCGGGAGGAGCAAGAAACAATCAGTGGCTTCGAGAAGTAGTGCAGAGTCTGAGCTCAGGGCTTTAGCACAAGGAATCTGTGAAGGATTATGGTTAAGAAGATTGATGAATGAGCTCAAACTTCCATTTGAAAGTTCCATCCAGATCTCATGTGACAACCAGTCTACTATCAGTATTGCTAAGAATCCTGTCCATCATGACAGGACCAAACACATTGAGATAGATAGAAGATTCTTATCAGAGAAGATTGCAACAAAGGATATCCAGCTGAGCTATGTTCCAACCAGGCAACAAATAGCTGATATACTCACCAAGGCACTTCCCAGACTTCAGTTTGAAGACTTATCCAGCAAGTTGTGCATGGATGATATCCATCACCCAGCTTGAGGGGGAGTGTAGATTATTACAGATTGTTCTAATTACTCACCCGATTGAGCATTTATGAGGAGATATCTTAGAGATCTCAGAATCTCTAAATATCCCCAATTATCTTTTCTTTATTAGGGAACCTTAATTAGGATGATTCCTTCCTTATTTCATTTTTCTCTAGCTATATATATTATGTATTCTTCTCATTGTATCTTATAGAACATAATAAACAGAATACATTTTACTTTCTCGAGTTGTACTGGGAGACACTTCAAATAAGATGAAGAATCAGAGCATGAAAGGACTAAACAACATAAACTTGGGTAATAAGATCACAAGATCATCAAATGTTTCTAACCAGGACTATAGAAGAATAAAGAGTGGTTGGTCTGTGAAATAAGTGCCTTCTCAATTGATGGGAAATCAGCCTCAAGCTGCTGCACCCGGATTGACAGACTATGGCCTCTTGCAGCAGTTGCCAGAACCTCTTCATGCAAATCATGGAATATTTCAGCAGCAAACCTTCAATATTCACAATACCTAAACTATTAAAGATAAGTACTAATAGAATGACAGCTAAAAAGTTGGTTTAGCTTATAAAATACCAAATTCATGTGCAGGGGATCATTCAACATGTTTGCTTATCAATGTTTAGCATATGAAATACACTCTGTGTGAAACTAATGCAACATTAAACAATTACTTTGAGAAATAACCAAAACATGAGTAATCACTCATGTTCCCCGAGATACAGTCAATTATCTGCCTGTTGCTACATTTATCTAATCAAATTTTGCTTGTAATCACTCATCTGAAGTTTATAAGCGCCTACCATGTAATGTAATTATATCTGGACATAAATGCAACTGATCGTCAATTTCCTGATCAAATCTATCACAAATGCTATTCGTACTAATAGAAAAATCATAAACAAATTGCAGCCGGGCAAAGCATTAGTATCAAGTATACAGTAAATTCTTAAAAACATCAGGCCTGCATTTCTTTAGCCAGAAAAAATAGAAACTTAACCAGCCAAATAGATCTTGTTGTAACAGAAATGGAGAAAAAAGCCCCGTAAAAACAGTGGTTCTGGAAAAAATCCAATGTCCAGGGCATTCATTTCTGGACTCCGGAGCACTATAACTCACAGCTCAAAAACTACCTTACAAACATAATTGAGTAAGCATCTGGACAATTGTTACTCACTCAGCAAGGTCACCGAGCTGGCGCAAGACGCCTACAAGTCCAGCCATGGCTACGCCTTCAAGGAGAAACTCGGGGTCATCTTTATCGGCGGACCTGTACAGTTCTGGATCAGCCAAGCTGAACTCATTACGTATCTTGTACCGGCTCAGCGGCATCCCTCAATTGAAAACCCTAACTCCTCAAATTCTAGCACATGCTGTTTCTCCACATTGACACATTCAACCTCGCCAAAAACCTATGTATCAGAGTGTGAGTGAATATGTATATATATCATATAGGTACTGTGTATGATTGCCTGACTGAGGAGATAGATAGATGATGATGATGATGATGATGATGATGGAGATGCCAGCTGAATAGGAACGTGAATGAACAGAGAGACGGTGGTGAGGACAACCGATGAACCGAAGGGCGAAGAAGAGTTTGACCCACTCTTTAGCTGCTTCCCAAAATGACAATAAATTTTGACAATGAGAACAAATTTTGACTATTGTTCGGGAGCTCATTTTGCATTTCATGAACACTACTTCCCTTTTTTTGTGAACACTATTAATTGAAGCATAAAATACCCATTCTTTGTGTCGTATATTCCTACTCCGTAAATTTATGTTGTTAAGCTTTTATTACTACATCCCCTAGACCTCAACTTTAACACATTTGGGTGTTTTAAACGGATTTCAGTCGAAAAATGACAGTTTGACAACTTTTAACGCTTTCAATAAGTGAAAAAGTTGTTTTGGTAAATAGCAGTTCGTCATTGACATTTTTGAATGGAAACGTTGAAATGTGAGTTTTATGTCCAAACAGCTAAATTATCAAACATCTTCTGACAATCCGTCAACTTATTTCACTAGTCAAACCCACTCACTGAAACCCCTATTCACAACCCGTTAATATAATCCGCTATCCGTTAACCGTTAAATGCCAAACACGCCCATTCTTCCCTATTTGATTTGGATCAGAATATAAAAAGTGAGAATAAAGTGAAAATGTATTGTTGTGATTGAGTAAGAAAAATGTAAATAGTAATTGAAAATTAGTCATACAAAATTTTCCCAAATGAAAAATGGGAAGAGTTTTTTGAGACATTCCAAAAATATAAGTGAGTAGAATTTAATGGGATGGGTGAAGTAACACGTTTTTGTAGTCAAAGAAACAAAATTGGGTGATCCTAATAAAAAATTAACTATACAAAGTGTTTTCATATACTCCATAAAATTGGACCGGTTCAAGACACTACTTGACTCCTAAGTATGTTCATCAAAACAACATGATTAATATAATTTTGATCATTATATTTCAATTGATTCCAAAAAATGTTTCAGTTCTATTTTTGTATAATCATTAAAACATACTCCTTTTGTTCTTTATTAACTATCTCGTATTCCTTTTTGGGACGTTTTTAATTATTTGTCCCTCTTTCCCTTTTTAGTAAGTATCTTTTTTTTTTTTGAAAAGGCGGCTTATATTAATATCACAACATTCAGAAAGAGAACAAAAAGATAAAAGGACAACTTCCACCCGCCGACCCTCGAACCAGACTTTGAGGCAATCACCGTACAAAAAGTAATATGACATGTTGATCCTGTAATGGGTTTAAATGAGCCTAACGCGATATGGAAAGACCACTCATCGCCCAATCCTAATGTAAGAGTTTGGAAAAAGTAAGCATAAGCAACAAAAACAAACATAGTCCGATTGAAGTAAAAAACATAAATTAAAGCATAAAAGTGAAACTGCAATTGCACCCTCAGCAACCCGATGAACTTCCTCTATTCTTCATTGAGCAGGAGCATTTTCAGATCTCTTGGCGGGTCGAAAAGCCTGGACCTGCCTCATCTCCGTTTTTTGGATCATCGAGAGTCATATTTTTCCTCCCAGCATCCAAGATTTTTTCCTCCTCCAACCCCCTCATGTGTTTCTGCTCTCCAACCGTTTCCTCCATAGCTGCTTCTTCGACCTCCTCAGACTAATTCTTGTTTCCTCCTGCCACAGTAAGAACCCAATTATGCCTTCTTGTCCCAACCCTTCTAACGTCCTCATTTGCTCTAACAGGAGTACTATCTTTCTGAGACATAGCCCTTCCACTTAAGGATCCTTCTGGTACCCGCCATTTCTTGCCCCTTAATGGGCTAGTTTTACCTCCTCCGCCTACTCGGAGTCCTACCCCATAAGGTTTTGCCACAATCGTTTTATCACATTCATACATCAGGGGACAATATTTATCAACATGATCAACGACACCACATGCAAAACAAAAGCTAGCCATTTTTTCGTACTTGAAATCTACCCAATGCCCTGCTCCCTGCCCTTTTCTAAAAGTCGTGCCCACTTTTAGTTGTTTCCCCACATCCGTGCAAAACCTGATTCTCATATAAGATTTTCATTTTTCTTCAAATTGACTTTCATCAAAACTGATGAATTTCCCAACAAAGTTACCAATTCTTCTAGTCACCCAATATTCATAAAATCATAAGGTACATTATGTACCTGTACCCAGAACTCATCAGCCTCATTAAGAGGAACCTGTAGAGGAATATCTCTTGGTCGAATTGTCCTGAGAACTAACAGATTCTGCTTAAAAAGCCATGGGCCACTTCCAAAAACACGCTCCATATCAATAATATGGTAAAAAGTAAACAAGTACCTCTTTTCACTCATCTCTTTAATGGAGATTCCTTTACCGGGCCGCCAGATTGAAGCCATGAGATCCCTGAGCACCAGGAATTTCACCATTCTATCCGTGATAACCATGCCAACCACTGGATAGATCTCTATGCGTTCTGATTTCTCCTCCTCATCGGTTTCCTCATCAAACACCAGTTCTTCCTCTTCTCCTCCAATGACCATATTAATTATTGTATTTGTTAGCAATATCCTCCATCCATGCCATTTACCTAGAGCGTTGTCCAAGCACACAATATATGATGAAATCTCTGCCGCGAACGACATGCTCCCCTGCAATAAAGGAAAATAAAAGTTGTATGGTTAGGGTTTGTGCATAGGAGAGATAAATGCTTAGAACCACAAATTAGTTGTTTTAATAGAAAAATTGTAAAGTTTTTTAGGACAATCAAGAAAGAATAAAAGTTTTTCTTTGATTTCTTTGAAAATTTTGTTAGTCATTAAAACTAATAAAAAGCTTACAAAGCACGGAGTACTTGGTAACTAGATATACTTGGTAACTGGATAATGGAGATGGAAAATAATACTCCCTCCGGTCCTAAATAAACTTCACAATTTCCATTTTGGGTAGGTACAAAATAAACTTCACTCTTCTTCTCTCTTTCTTATTTGGCAAATTATCTACATCAAAACAGTGCAAAACAGTGTCAAATAGTGTCAAACAGTGCCAAACAGTGTCACAACAGTGTACTCTGCAGTAAAGTCAAATTTATTTCCTTAATTTATGAGAAATCAAAGTGTGAAATTTATTTTGGACCGGATTCTATAAATGGTCATCCTACAAACCAGGTGGCAGCCTCTCTCGTTCATGACACTAGAGCGAACTGATGACCCAGCTTTTTCTCACTCACTTAAATGACACTTGTTCTCTTCATTTACTTCCTCACCGCCTCTAATATCCCAAGAACCAGAAGAGAAGAAACCGACCGCCGCTAATGGACAGACCAACAAGAAACCCAATCATAAAAAACACTCCTTTCGAAGTAAACAACAAGACTTCGGAGCCAATAAGAATGTTCATGGAAAGCGAATGCCGCCAGTACTGCTATTCACTAGTCGAGTCTATCCCCACCCCACAGCCTACGTGGTCTACAACGGCTCCGGCGATCCTATCCGCCTCCCCGGAACTGCCGGCTTATGAGTTTGACTTTGAATGGGCGGCGGAATACGGTGGCGGCGAGAGTTACACTTCCGTCGAGGCATGGTGGGTGGGTTTTTTGAAATCCTTGGATTATGAAAATGGGAGGGGCGAAATGGGTAATCACTGCGCGGGAAAAGAATATACCGCAAGTTCCGAGAAAACTCCGGCAGCAGTGGATGCTGCCGGTGCAACGTTTCCTGAAGAGTGGTTGTGTTTCCCTGCAGCTGAGGACCACCCTGAGGACTCTGTTCCCTAGCTAATTTATGTATTAGTTTATATATATAGTGTGGTGAATGGTGATCAATTAATTTGTGAAGAAATGTTGCATGTTTCAACTCTTTTTCATCTTCTATATGTTGGTAACACGTGTATAAGGCTGGACCTAAAATAAGGTTGGACCTCTGCTGCGTACGTGTATAAGGTCTACTGTCGTTTTGGTGACTGAGTCACCGTGATTAACCTCCCCACCATCCTGTCGGTCGGGGTGGGGGGCCTTGGGGTTGGGCATTCAACCTTTTGGATCAAGGTAATTACTACGTAGTAACTATATATGGCGATGCTAAATGCTAATGAATGATTTTTTTAGAAAAATGTTAGAAGTACAAACACACTTACAGACAAGTGTTGTAAATGTGATGTGATCATGACGCATACCCTTTTGTAAAATTTTTTGTACCTCTAGCATAATTCATTTTTTATCCTTAATTAATTGTTTATGATGCCTTCTAAAAAAAATACCCCTAACCTCTACTCTTTGCTGCAGGGTAAAGTAACCAACTGAGTTGGCATGGATTTTGATTGACTTGGACCCATATTTAGTTATTTACCTACCCTATTTAGTTATTTACCTACCCTATCGTAGAACTACTAATTGTAGTTTTTTTTTAATTTGATGACATTAAGAAAAGTAAAAGGGGTTTTTCTTTGAATATTATCAAATTTAAGCTGATTTCCAAAAATGTGATCATTTTTATAAAAAGATAAAAATGTGACTAAAAAAGTCACATATTTGGAAAAATATGTCACTGTCATTTTTTATGTCACTGACAGATTTTATGTCATTATTATATATCATTATCACATTTTTATGTCACTTTTGAATGTCACTATAACCACCGTCGGTGTCACTGAGTCACCGCCGGTGTCACTGAGCTACCGCCGATGTCACTGACGCAATGTCACTTTGATCACCGGAAATTTTTCGGCGATTCCCCCCGACAAATAACGTAAATTTCAAACAAATATTTCCGCTACACCTCTTGCACCGCCGGAGCACCACCGTCTCACAAACTCCAGCCGCCGCCATCTGCCCCATCTCCCTTGCCAGTTGCCACCGTCATCGCCAGCCCCCAAAACCCCATCCCCAAACCCAAACCCCCCTCCGAGCCCTCCAGTCCCCTAGCTTCCCCTGCCCATGCAACAATCCCATAAACCGTCACAATCCCCAAAGTTGCAACCCCAGCCACCCAATAGTCGCAACCTCCCCTCACCTTACCGGCCAACCTTTTTTCCCGGTAGCCGCCCTAACCCTGATTCTGTGTAGAAGAAGAAAGAGGAAGATATACGACGACGACGTCACCAGGCTCGTCCCCACTCATCGACGCTGGAAGAGATGCCATTGTCAATCCCTGATTGCGCTGAAAGCTTTTTTTTAGAACAATTGCGATGAGCTATGCGATCGATCGGTTGGTTTGCGATAGAGATAGATGCTCCGCTGCTATTGAGATATGTTTTAGTGATTGGAAGGTCACTTTTTTGGAAAATATAAATAAGGTTATATTTTTGGAGTTCGAAAGTATGATGGTAATATAGAGGCCATTAATTCAAAGTAAAACTATCTTTTTATATGTAAAAAGACTATCTAACAAATTAGGAACCTTTTTGGTAATACTAAAATTAGTTCACTGCAAATTAAAAAAACACAGGATCGACATAGATTTTTTGCAGGGATTCCACAAAATTGGAAGGAATTTTGGCAGGGGTATGCCAAATCGGTGCCAAAAATAGTTTGACACGAGCTAAGTTTTTTGCAGTTGTTGAATCGGCTGAATCTGTTGAAATTAATGAAATTTCGGTTGAATTGACTGAATTGATTGATTCTGTTGATTTATGAAAAAATTATATTCAGTATATATTTTATTAATAAAAATAAAAAAATACATGTAAAAATAGTTAAAATGTTCATCTAGTGTCAGAAAAAATTACTCCAAACTTATTTTTTCTAATTATTATAGTTCAGCGCATGAAATAAAAAGTTATGTGTGTGCCGAAAAAGCAGACTGCTACGCTTGATAAGAAGAAAAATAGGGTTACTAAACGGGTTCTATATCGTATACAGAAATAATACGAATAATTACTGTGAAGAGTGGATGATATATGGTGGACCTCTACCCTATAGAAATCAAAATGCAATTGACACCATTATATTTAGGTTATTGTTGTAAAATCCTAGAAATGACAAGTGTGAATTGTTTATCCTTGTCATCAATCCTGAAATTGTGTTTAATCCTTGCAACCTAGTTAGAATAGACGACTGAAATTGTTATTGCCACCAAATCTGTAGAATCATCCCTTAAGTGACTCATCATCAAGCTCAACCAATATAAATAGGGGCTTGATGAGGCCTTGTAATCTCATTCAGAAATTTTCAGATTAAGAAGAAGTTATTCAGAGCTTATTATTCATATATCTGTCTCTCAAATTTGTTCTCCATCTTATTCATTTCACAACACGTTATCATCACGAATCAGCTCAAAACTCTCCGACAAACCATGAGCTGTTGCGGGTATGAACACTATAAATTCATATTCATCTTTATATTAAACAAAAACATAATCTTATACGGAGTACGTGCACATACCTTTGAAATATACTATGCATCAATTTCTGTCATCCGAATGCCCTCTTTGTTCGTACAAGGAGAAGAAAATCACAATTTCCGCTAATATTAGTATTCCTTAATAAGGAGTATGTGAAGTAATAAAGAAGGTGAATGCCAAAATAGAAAAGCATTTGTATTACTAGATGCCTACGAGCACTACAAAAAACACGCCTGTAGTCACGGACGTTAGTCACGAATTTGGTCCGTGACTAGTTAGTCACGGATCTAGTCACGGGCTAGTCACGGATTTTTTTTAAAAAAAGTAGTCACGGATATAACCGTGACTACTTCCGTGACAAACCTATTCCGGCCAACCCAATTGTGCCTCCGGTGGATTATTTTTTAAATTTGAAATTAGTCACGGATAAATCCGTGATCGATTCCGTGACTAAACATAAACCTAAATCTTCGTTGTGTTTCCGGCGGGATTTTTTCAAACTAGGACTTAGTCACGGATTATTCTGTGACTAATTCCGTGACAATATCCAAAATTAAATTTTCCAACGCTCCAAAGTTTATATGTAATGGTAATTTGTACGAATTAACGTAGTCACAGACACATCCGTGACTACGTCCGTGACTAATTGTTTTATATATGCAACAACAGATTCATCCAACAGAACCACACAGACTGTTTGAAAGATTGAATTGAAGAATGTAATATAGCCATCTTATATCATTTTCCCTGTTTATGCAGATAATGTATGTAATTTGAATTACGTTTTTTTGTATGAATTAGTTGATTCATTTTAAGTGTAATAAATTGTTAAATTAGAGAGATTATTAATTAAGTAACGAATTATGTAAATTTCATTTAATTTAGTGAAAACTTAGTTAGTTAAACGTAGGTTTAATCGTAGTGACACATTAAGTTAAAATAATTAATTAGTTAAATTAGTTAAATTTTAGTTAATATTAGTTAAATGTAAATTAAATGCATTTAAAAAAAGGTTGTTAATTAATTAACGAAATAAATTAGTTAAAATTAGTTAAACGTATGTGTAATTTAAACATAGGGTTAATTAAGTTGTATTTAATTAAAATTACGTAAATTAGTTAAATTATAGATGATATTAGTTAAATGTAAGTATTATTTAATTCGAATGAGTTTATATATGTTTAAATATAATTATAGGTGATGGAGTATATGGCCCGGGAATCCCCGGCCCACAGACTCCTACTACTCCAGCGAAGGCCCAACAGACCCAGAAGGCCCAACAGGCCCAAATCACAACGCCCAGAGTACCAGCCAGTCCGCACTACGCGCCAGGGGTGCCTTCGGCCCCCTGGCCGAAGGCTCCAAATTCTCACAGAACGGGTTTCTCAAGCAAATTAAGAAACTGGGAGAAAACAGCGAAAACAGTAGCCCTCGGCACTGTGAGCCCTCGGCACCAGGGCGCCATCGGGTGGAAGAGCCCTCGGCTACTGCTCTATAGCCGAAGGCATCTCACTCGACAAGATATCCGCCTCACATGCGTACAGATCACCGTACCCCGCACAGACGTCCCGTCCAACAGCCGCATTAAATGCGGCCACATGCGGCTGCCAGCGCCAACCAGTTGAGGTGACCCCTCGGCCAATGAGCGCTTGACACGTGTCCCTGCCCAGCATTTATTGCTACTATAAATAGCACCCCATTTCCCCATTTGTAACCACGCTGAAAACGGCATTCATACTGAATACACTCTCTCTCTACTTTTACTTACTTGCTCTGACTTCTCTCTTGTTACTTCCCGCAATAACCCTTCGGATATACACCCCCGGGTAGACTATCCATCATTTGGTGCTCTCGTTGAGAGGTTGAACAATCGAGTAAGAAACCCTTCCCCTCGACCAAACACAAAACACTAGCCCTCTATCAAAATGGTGAGGACAACACGTGCCAACTCAAAGAACGTAGAAGACAAGAACCTGGCCCTCGGCGACGTCAACGCCCCCGAAGCCTCTCACAGGGCTCCCGAGGGCGGTGTCATCGCTGGGCTGGAACAGGCGGCTGTCGACCTACGCCTTCAGATCCAACAAAATGCCCCCGATGCCCGCCTCGGCATCGAGGCCAAGAAGAAAAACCGGAGCGATGACCAAGTCAGCCCTCCGGTTCTCACCATCGACGTGCAATCGGCGCTCTCCGCCTTCATCCAGACGCTCACCCAGAACCCAGGTGCCTTCGGCACCCTGGCTCCAGCTCACCCTCCGATCGGGGAAAATATCATACATCCCCCTCTGCCACTCCCCTTCGGAAATCCCACCCCTCGGGTAAGGAACGACGAGGGGGTGGTGGCCCAAGATACGTCCTCCCAGGAAGTTCAGTCCCGGGACCGCCATAATGACAACAAGGAAAGGCCCCGTACTTCCGCCCTCAACCGGCTCGGAGGAGGGCCAGACCGCCGAGGGGTCCAAGACCGCCTCGGGGGGAAAGCACTCCAAAGGCCCCAGGAAAGCGGGGGATCTGTCTCGAGGGCAGACGAGGAGCGTCCCCCTCGGGACAAAGGCAAGGCACCCCTTCATGCCGATGATGCTCGGCACCAAATCAACCAGGCCCACTCGGCCCGGCTTCGTTCGCAGGGGGCGGAGACCCTCCCGAAG